CCCCCCCCCCTCTTTGTCAGATTGCGTCACAGAGGGTGAACTCCGTCGACCTGTCGTGCTGCAGCCTGGAGGAGCTGCCCGCTCAGCTCTTTTACAGCCAGGACCTCACACACCTCAATCTCAAAAACAACTTCATTTCGCTGCACAAAGGAGTTCCAGCGCTCACCAGGTGAGTTTCTGTCACCGAGCACGTTCAGGAACAAAGCAGGAGGAGGAGCCGGCAGATGAAAAGCAGCACTTTGCTCTTTGTTATTTTCTCTTTTGGATGTGAAATGTCCCCGAGTGGCTTGTACTGTGTTGGGTTGCTAGCATATGGTCTGAAGAGGAAGCAGCGTAGATGAAATCACAGATGACGTGAGCGTGGGCGGCTGTGTGGTTGAGATGATTAAAAGAGAGCGGGACACTGGTGATGAGACATTTGACCTCTGGGGCAGCTGGGCTTTTCTCACAGAGCTTCTTTCATCGTCTGCTTTGGAAGAAGAGCTCCATCAGAATACTTGAGTACAAAAAAACGCCTACAGAAGTAAAATCCACCACAACATTTAGCTACTAACTTACTTAACTTAAAGAAATGATCACATACAGCAAATTCTGTCCCTCTCTTTGGCTTCTTTGCCGCCACTTTATGTCCAGAGAACATTACGTTCAGTACATTCACCTGATGGAAATGAACACATACAGACTGTATACACGCAGCCATTGTTTCTCCATAAACACACGCTTCCCAGGCGGTGTTTTGAGGAATGTGTTTTTCCCGTGGTCTGCCTGTGACTTTCCCTCGGAAGGATGTGGGTCCGGCTCAGCCTCTCGCCCGACCCCTCTGTGAACTGGATTAAGAAAACCAGGGAGGACACAAACACACGCAGGCTCCCACCTGAAGCACACGCTGTTGCATTGTTGTGGTGGAAGCTTTAAATAGCAGGTGTGCTGTGAGTGTCCTTGAGCCTTGTGCAGGCTTCCTCTCCTGTAATCCTTGTTCATGAGGCTGGTGTTGTGTAACTAAAATAAAGTTTGTTTCTGTTAGAGGCTCAGTTCAGAAGAAAGTCTGATTATAACTACGAGATTCTTATCTTGTCCCTCTTTCTCTGCCCTTTTCTTCTCTCCCTCTTTCTCTCTCAATGACTCTCTGTGACTCTCTAGGTTTTGTAAACTGAGAAGCCTCAGTCTGTCGAATAACGCTCTGTCAGACTTTCCTCTGGCCTTGTGTGACATGTCCTCGCTTACGGAGCTAAACGTGTCTGGAAATCGTCTCTCGTCGCTGCCCGCAGAAGTAGGAACCATGCACAAGTAAGTGGGCTGAAAGAAGGCGATGAGCTCTTGTTATTAATCATAACGGCGATGAGTTTCTCCTCAGCGACCTGAACGCTGCTGACAGACATCAGACGGGAGCTGTTGTCATCGTGGTTCCATCAGTGCAGATTAATCCGGCTCTGTATTAAGTGAACAACTGGCTGTGCACCAGACGTGTGTCCTGACGGTGCAGAGGTTTTTGTCCAGGTGATCCGAGTGCAGAGTCATGCTGATGCTGTCGCTGCATTACAGAGTGTCCAGCAGCAAACTGTGTGTGCGATGTTGCTGAGTCAGTTGCAACTGACGATTATTCTCTCTATCGATTCATTTTCTCGATCAGCTGTTTGGTCCTCAAAGGATATTCAGTGTACTGTCAGAGAGGACTAAAGAAAGCAGAAAATATTCACGTTTAAGAAGCTGAAATCACAGAATTTGAACATTTTATAATGAAAAATGACTCAAAACGTTGAATTGATTATTAAAATAGTTGCAGATTCATTTACAAGTTGACAACTAATAAATTACAGTTGCAGCTCTAATTGGAAACGTCAAATTCGTTTGCGTATAATAGATATAAACTATAAAAGCGCTGCAGCCGTTTTCTCATTTTAGGATAAAACTGCTTTGTGGAAACGGAGTAAAAAGCTTCTTGGTGGGCGTTGCCAGTGGCAGCGGGCGTTGCTAGGAGACATGCTGTCATCGTCTTTACAGCATATGACATTTTTTTTCCGACAAGCCCAAATATCACCGGGCTGGTTATGTGCACTTTATATGTACGGCGATTTAAGACTTGTCCCTTTACAAGGTGGAACATTTGGGAGGACTCGCCCTGTTAGCAGTGATTCCCATTAAAGGTACAGCGAGTAACGTTTAGGAAGATCTGTTGGCAGGAGAAGAGTGTAATAATCCCCTCCTCTCTTCTCTCGCTGTGTGTCCAGCCTGCAGACTCTCCTCCTGGATGGTAACTGTCTGAGCTCTCTGCCCGTGGAGCTGAGCTCTCTGGAGGGCCTGACCTACCTCGGCTTGTCCTTCAACTGTTTCAGCTGCGTCCCCCCTGTCCTGGAGAAGCTCAGAGGCATGGAGAGACTCTGTCTGGCAGGGAACCAGCTCTCCGTCCTGGATATAGCCGGACTGCAGTGGCTGCCTGCTCGCCACATAGATCTCAGGTAAACGCATCCACGCGGGCATTTATAGACGCACCGCTGAAACAAAAGCTCATCTGAAATCCAACACTTCTAATCCCAAGATGCTGCAGGAAAAGTCTGCTCTGTTATTTCTGCATCATGTTGTCCTGTTGATTTGGAAATCTTAACACCAAATAGTTAAAGTTCGGTTTATTTTTGCAGCCAAAATAACTAATTTTACCCGGTTTTCTGCCCTCTTGTTCTCAGGCTAAACCGGCTTCAAAAGGTGACAGTGGGAGAGTCAGAGCAGCTGGTCCACATCGTCCAGCTGGACCTGAGGGACACTGGTTTACAGGAGCTGGATGTCAGGCCTCTCTGTAGGCTGGAGCTCCTGCGCTGTGACAGAAACGCTCTCTCCCTCCTCAGAGTCAGCGGCCACGCCCTCAAGAGCCTGCACGCTGCACACAACGGTACTAAGATCTCCTGTGTGTTGTAGAGATGTGGAACAGCAGATATTACATTCACACTCTGACTGTAAAGAATTGTGCACGTTGTGTTTGTAGAGCTGAAGCTGCTGGAGCTGCAGCCGGTCCCAGAGAACCTGACTGTTCTGGATTTGTCCTGGTACGAGTACTTCACTGTCCTATTTACTGTGTGGAAAAGAAGGCTGTGTGCTTGTTCAAAGTGGGACGCTGACTGTATTTGTTTTATTAAAGGAACAAGCTGGGATGTGTCCCTGAGTGGGTGTGTGAGAGCAGCAAACTGGAGGTGTTGGACATCAACCATAACTGTGTTACAGAGCTCTCCGTACAGTGAGTATCACACACACACCTGCAGCAGAGACTCGTGGTTCACAAGTAAGCTGTTGCAGAAGGAGGAAAGGTGGGAAGCTGCTTTAATGTGAAGGTTAAAGCTCCACTCCACTCAAAGATCAGTGTTTCTTCTTGTTCCTGCAGTGTGATGTTTGAATGTCAGTGCACATACAGAACGGACTTCACACACACTGTTGTTCCAAGCAGATTATTGTATATATGTCTTAACACGCATCATCTTTAACAGTTTAACGGCTCATCTAGCACAGACAGACATTAGCACTGTGTCAGAAAATACAGCCCCCTCATTCATTACTGAGACATCGTCGTCGGTACAGTGGGAGTACTGACGCAGGCTGAGGGTTAAAAGAAAGATAAAACACTGTTACAGCAACATTGATTAAACTGAATTTAAACTTAATTGTCCATAATGTCATTCCAAGACAGTACAGCTTATCAGAAACTGAGGGAAAAGGTAAAAGTATGTAACTGTGTCATTACCAGTGAAGGTTATAATGTGCAGCAATGTTTAAAAGAGGACAACGCAAACTGTACATAATATAACAGTGCTGATGAGTCTTTAAAGATGCCTTCAGACATTTATTAAGACAATCTACTCCTTCTACCTCATTAACTGTATAAGCTGACTAATGTTTGACTAACAAACTATTTGTGATGTGACAAATCGTGCTCGTAGGCCCCGCCCCTTAAAAATCACACTTTAAATGAGAGAAACTTTCCACTCTCAGCAGATGAATGTGAACACATCCTTCTTGTGTCAAACTGTGCACAGACATCATTCAAACATCACACTGCAGGAACGAGGAGAAACACTGATTTCTGAGCGGAGGAGGCCTTTAAGGGAATAGATGCATTATTCTGAAAGGTTTCATCGGTACCTGTAGCAACACGCCCACACAGATGCAGTGCTATTTTCAGTGCGTACAGCCTGTGGCAGCAATTACAAACACGCACTGCTGCCTTCAGAGCATCTGATCGTACATTCAAACTGAAGGTCAAGCCCTCATACATTTCCTCTCCTCCTGTCGTGATTCAAGAGTTAGTCCATCATAAGGTGAACTCATTTGGTACACAGACCGTTCTGTGTCCTCATCAGCCTTACAGAGAGACTGAGCTCCCCGTGTTGTTTGTGTGTTGCAGGCTGATGTCCAGCGGGAGTCTGAGAAAGCTGCTGGCCGGCTGGAACGAAGTGTGTCGGCTGGCTGAGAGGCTGGAGAGTTCACAGCTCGAGGTCCTGGACCTCCAACACAACCATCTGACTGAGCTCCCACACAACCTTTTCATCAAAGCACAGAGGTGCACGCAACAACATCCTCCTTTCTGTCTCTCGCTCTCTGTTTTTTTTGTCCCTTCCCCATGTGTTCAAGTACTAAGTTTGTCTCCTCCGTTGGGATTTCGTCACAGCTTGCGGTACCTAAATGTGTCGGCCAATAAGCTGGAGAGCCTCCCAGCAGCCAGCCTATCGGAGGACAGCTTCAGCAGCCTGGAAGAGCTCTATGTGACCAATAACAGCCTAACAGACAAGTGTGTCCCTCTGCTGACTGGACACGGACACCTCAGGGTGCTGCACCTCGCCTACAACCAGCTACAGACCTTCACCGCCAGGTACGATACACTGCTGCACGTGAACTGAGCTCGCCAAAGGTAATCAGTGTCTGACAACCTCATGTACGCAGCAGTGGAGCTCAATGGCGACGTTCCAGGAGTAGGAATCTCATTCATATATTTTTTACACGTTTTATTTATTGATTTTCCACATTGAACACAATTAACACACATAGACACTGAACCTTCACCCAGTTTGAACATGCAGCAGCAAATCAAATAATAATGGACACAGTCATAGTCAGTAATAAATAAATACAATAAAAATACAAATGAAACAATAAATTTGTATTTGTAAGGTTTTCTTTTTAAGAAGGTCTTGTCTCCAGGTTGGTGGTCGTCAAAGGTAGTTCCTTCATTAAAATAATAACGTACAGTCTTCTACCTTTTGCTTTTTTCCATTTGATCAGCTTGTTCTCAGGTTTTAAACTCTTTAAAGAAGGATTTTCTTAAAGTGAATGAATGGACAAATTTCAGGAGGTCTAAGTTGGTTTCAGAACATCGTCGTGCACCTAATGTTGGCATTAACTCACATTCCTAACCCTAGAAACATTATCATCCAGTCTAACAGCGGAGCCTTGCTTCAGAATCAGGTTAAGGTCACAAGAGAGAAGAGTCTGATAAATGTGGATCCCAAAAATAAAGTTTGCAGTGCCGGCGCTCTTAATAAAACCGTACCTCCCCCCCTCGCAGTAAACTGGCACGCCTGGAGCAGCTGGAGGAGCTGGACCTGAGCGGCAACAGACTGCGGGCAGTGCCCACCACCATCCTCAGCTGCCAGCGCATGCACACACTCTCCGCCCACTCCAACTGCATCAACGCGTTCCCAGAGGTGCTCCAGCTGCCTGAGATCAAGGTGAGTCTGACACACGCAGGTATTTCAGCCTCCGTCTCCCTCCATTCATTCAGCTGTATGGATATTATCTTTCTTCCAGTGTAATCAGTGTTCTCAGACTCAGGTGCCTTTTGGGAAATTAAAGAAAGTCAACGTCGTTCTACTCGATGACAAAACCCGACCTCCCTCTGTCCCTTTTTTAAATCTGTCTGTCTCCCTCTGTGTTCATCTTTATTGGGTTAGGCCAGATCAGGAAATCCTTTGTAATCTCCCAGTAACTCGTTAATCTCTGAATCCTCTCTCTGAACCCAAATGACGGTTCCATACTCCTGTCAGTGCGTGAGTGTGTGAAGTAAAGCGTGGGGGCCGTATTACACATCACCGTTACTCTGAATGAGTCTGGATTGATGCACAAAACGTAGGAATCTTTGTGATATGAAGCTCATTATGAAACAAAAGAGAATGAATAAACATTTAAAGTCAACTCTCTAATCTCAACATCCTTTTTCACAGCAGACACTTGAACTTATAGCTAGAAAAGCACTGATGGCTCTGTTCCTTTAAGCGTCTCAGGAAATCTCAGTGACACACCAAACCCTGGAAACTGGCTCAACTAACGGAATATCTCATTAATGGGATTAATGGGACTTCAGTATTCCCTGAAAAAGACCCGTAGAGGAGAAGTTAAAGGGATAGTTTGGGTATTTTGGGGTGGGGTTGTATAAGGCGTTACCTACAGCAGCTGAAGGTTAATGTTCCCCCCAGAAGCAGAGCAGAGCACTGCTGTGAGCGGGGTTCGCTGTATTTAGAGTGTTTCTGCTGTTACCCTGTCGCCTTTTTCTTTGACACTAACCGTAGAACTACCGTATTCCTACACTTAAGCCCAACTGCACACTGTGTTACGCCGCAGGTCAGCTGCTTGAGTTAGTGCCAAAGGAGAAGGCTGACTGACAGCACAGTGAAGCAGTGACATCTTCTTAATATAGTGTGCATTACTCCTGTCTGCCTCTCCCAACAGACCTCCGTCTACTGTAGATAATACACACACTGTGGATACCTCAAACAGTCTAAGTAATAAATATATGTATAAACACAGAGATAGATCAGGATCCATCTGGAATCGTAGTTCTGGGCTGAAAGGTATCCGGTGAACTGACCCTGCGTCTGTCTCTTCCTCAGTGTGTCGACCTGAGCTGCAACGAGCTGACCGAGGTGACTCTGCCAGAGACGCTCCCTCCGAAGCTTCAGGAGCTGGACCTCACAGGAAACCCTCGTCTCAACCTGGACCACAAGAGTCTGGAGCTCCTCAAGTACGGCCTGACAGACGCTGCTGCAGCATCTGGAGTAAAATAACAACTGGCTGCTTTTTTTTTTACCCTTTCTGTCTTCTCTCTGCAGCAATATCAGATGTTTCAGGGTGGATCCGTCACCTTCAGCTCCGTGTGTGAATGAGAGCCACGGGGCCCCCGCAGTCTGGAGCCACGGCTACACAGAGGCCTCTGGAGTCAAAAACAAGTCAGTCCTCCTCCCACCTCCTCCTCTCTCTGTCCATCTCCTCTCAGGCATCTTTTCCTCTGGAATTAGTGTTTTATCGATCTCTCAAAGTCAGTGTAGGTTTCCATCTGATGAAGCCAGAGCTTGATGCTCTATCATCCCTCTCGTCCGTATCCAAATCCATAAAAAAAATCCAGGAGACCACTTGTAAAGTTAAATTCTTTACTTTAAGTCAAAAAGGTGATACAAAATAAAATCTTTTCCACTTACAATATAATACAAATCAATATACAGAAAAGGAGAGATAGAGAAAGAGAGAGAGATCAAAAAACTGTGTGGCTCCACTCTCTCTGCTTGTCCGAATGGCTTAATTACCTCTCGGTAACGCCCCTAAACTCCGGGATCGTTAAAGGACCGAAATAAGTTCGAAGACATTCAAATCAATTGCAAATGAAATGTACATATTTATAATTATTACCACATATTTTAAATCTAAAGAATCATACAATTAACCTCTAGCATTACTGCAAATATTCTAATTACCTAATAATCAATGAACTGTGTAATTTAACCACTTAGACATAAACAAATGCTTTTAGGCTCCTACAGTCAGTAAGAACACAATGACTTTTCCAAACCACACGGTAAAAAGAGCTTTCAGAAGATACACAAACTGATAAAGTGAAATACAATAACGGAGGTAATGAAATGTTCAGAAAGCATTAAAGAGCCAGACTCAGCTGACTGCCCCCCCCCCCTCAGGCTGTGTGTGGCTGCTCTGGCTCTGGACAGCTTCTGCCGGATTCCAGAAGCCCTGTACGGAGTTTTTGACGGAGACAGGAACGTCGAGGTGCCTTACCTGCTGCAGTGCACCATGGGAGATGTGCTGGCAGAGGAGCTGCACAGGGGCCAGAGGCAGGAAGACTACATGACCAACACTTTCCTCACCATGCAAAGGTACACACACACACACA